ACAGATGTTGAGTTTGGCTTGCGTCCGGTGTGTGTGTACGTACTGCTATCAACCATCCCAGGGTCTCTGGCAAACTGAACTCCTGCACAGCTGTACTGGATCTTGTTGCTGCCTGTAGCGTAGCAGTTGGTTTATTTTGTTCTTGCTAGTGCAGTGACATTCTGATGATCCCCTATCCATGTATCTCTGAAGAGCGCAAACAGCATGCAAAGTAACATGCCATTTCGTCAGCTAGGTGTCACCACAAAACTCATGGGAGGGTTGCACCTGGTTATCCCAGGTTATCCTCAACTAGAGGAAACAAGACATCTGTAATGAGCTGGATACTATGTATCACTACCCTTTCCGTAATGCAGTTGGAACTGCTTAGCTATGTGTCAAAGGCCCTAGACTGAGATTTTCCTTTAGCGCAAAGGGGTAGGGGCTTTTGGGGCGCAGAGGCATCTGAGATCCGTCTTAGCTGTTGCTATGAGTTCTCTAGGTGGGCAGCATAGTGACAACCATGAATTTCTTAGGCAACCACAGATTTGCATCAGTATTGTGTAGCTTAGTACATGCCCGCTTCTAGCACTCAGAGCTTCTGGTTAGTGGTGTTGATATGAGTATCATGGAAAGTTCTGCCGCTCTGGCACTGTTACCATGATCAAGAAGATACGTTTTAAATACTAACAGGAAATCCTGGCAGCATGTATTTACAGCCAACCACTGCATCTGTTCAGATTTAGTTCTGAGACTGTTTTATACATGTTTGGCGAGAACACTCCCCCAGCCATAATGGAAAGATCTGCCTGGAGAAAAGCAGGAGAGCCTATTGTTCCAAGAGCTGCTGCAGGCAAATTACTCATGCTTCAGAATGTCAGAGGAATCCTGGATACAGATTGGCTGGTGAGAATAAGGCCAGGACACAACCAACAATGCCAAAGTGGGACGCTCGAGTGCACCTATTGACGATGACTTTTTGTTAGTTAATTGCTGGTTATTAAAGGAACACTGTCAATTTAGAGTCACACTTCTTAAAAATTGTTCACCTACATTTGCAACAAGTAACGTGTATGGCTACTTGCAGCACTGGTAAGTCAAATGAAAAAAATATTCTCAATTTCTTTGTTACAAAAATCTCTCCTGTGCATTTGAGAGCACTGCATACAGAGTTGGTGAGACTGCTTTGCCCTGTAGGGTCAGTAACCTTCCCCTAGTCAGGTTGAGCTTTCAGACCACAGCAGGAGGAGAGAGAAACATTTAAAAGAAATCCTTTCCAATCACATTTTCTTATAGCCTGGACCAAGCAGTTGTGGAATGAGCTGCTACCTAACTGCATTGCCATATGCTAGCTGGCAGCAAGTCATTACGATTTGCACCAACAGGATGTTGTCTGCGTTTCCTCTGATGTAGGGCTTTTATCTGGTCTTCTGAAACATGAGCACCTTGGCATAGTCAAGTGTGGACTTGTGTGAGTTGGGTTGGAACATCCCAGTTTGGTGTCTCTAGTCCATTCCCTTGCACCATATGGCGGTTTGCCTTTCTGTTTGCCAACCACAGACCTATGTAGCAATGAATGTTGCATTCTCTCATAGCATTGCAAGCATTGTTAGAAGCTGGGTGGGTTGGAGAACGTGGGGGCAGATACTGTAGGTGCATTTCCTTTGCTGCAAATGGAGAATAACTCTCTTCTCCAGATATTTTATTTCCCGGTTCTGACTCTTAGAGTACAAACAATGCGGCTTCTTTAGTTGAGCACAGAGAGTAAACTCCAATTTCTTTGCTATCAGCTTTCTGCTCCAGGGCTGCCTTATTGCTCCCCAATCCTATATGCTCCCGTATGTACATGAGCAATCCCCACAAACCACCCCAGAATCATACAGGTTTAGGATTCAGTCCTACTGATCTCTCTTACCTAAGCTATGCCTAAAAGGGTGCTTTGTGTTATTGTTTCTGTGACTGCAACAGTTAAACCCTTACATAGCCCAGTATTTCTCCTAGCGGGCGCATTCTTTCCAAGTGGATTTGTTTTTTCAAGTGGTATGTAGGATTTTTTTCCACTCTTGGCTTTGCCATTTTGAAAATGGCACTAATTCAGGATCCATGGAAAGACTTCTGGCTTGCTGGGTCTATAATTTTGCAAGGAGCAGTGTTGGGGCCAGCAGCCCATTATCAACATGGCTTTTTGTGGCTTTGGTACAAAGCTATGCTTTGAAGGAACGTGCCGCTACTGTGCATATAAAAATTGGTGTGTGTTCTCTACTGGATCTGTGTGTAACTCTGTTCTCGAGAGCCTGGTATATTGTGTGTGTCTGGTGGGTTGTTTTGTTTTTTTTTAAAGTTCTAAGTCATCTAAATGCATTTGTGCTGTCAGTTTGTATTCTGCAATGTAGGATTGAGTATGTGAAATGTGTGCTACTTGGGAGAAGTGAATGCTTCCCAGTGCCAGATCCATGTGAGTCCTGACTGTCTGGCTTACATGAGGTTACAAGTTTTTGTGGCTCACTGGCAGAGAGGGGATGGTGGATGTGAAAGTGGCTGTGTTTGGATGTAGGCTTCTTTAGTTCAGCTAAACTTACACACACTCAGTCACACACACATGTTTTTGGACTTAAGGAGGGGGGGGAAAAGCACCTAGCACATCATAAAAGGCCAAAAATAACAGCAGAGTGAGGCAAACAAGCCAGGAGCGGGACTGATGTCATCCTCGCTAGGCCTAGCACCAGTGAGGGAGGAATGTGTCCAGAGCCTCTGAGATTTCCCAAAAGGCATTGATTACCCCAGAATAGAGAACAAAGCACTGGCCCTAGGCCAGGGGTTCTCACAACAAATTTTTTGGTGGCCTCACCAAATCTTGCTGGTGGCGGCTCTGACCATTTTTCCTAAAATGCTTTAGTAAAAACAGATAAATATGCACATACATATGTCCAAATCATTGTAATTTATCTACGTAGGGGTTGGTTTTTTTGCAGGCTCAATAATAAAAAATAATGTACGGTTGTCTCTATTCTTTACTGGACCTAAACAGAATAGAAACACAAATAAGGTGCTTTGAGCATTCTTGTTTTTTTTCTTGGTGTTTCTTTTGCTTTACTTGGTTGCTTTTTTTGTTTTTGTTTTGTTTTCAGACTTGCTAGCTACTAAGTGTGCTGTGAAAAGTGATATTAACAAACATACAAATATCATTTTCACAGCAGACTTACTCAGCCCTGGCAAGCCCGGGGACAAATTAAGCCCTGGGTACGGAGGCAATGGGGGCACTGGAGGAGGCTAAGGAGGGGTAGAGGCTAAGGGGGTTGAGTTCGGGACCAGAGCCTGCCACCACGCAGCCAGGTGACAGGGCCTGGAGGCGGAGCCCAAACCCCCTTGGCTGGAGCCCAACCCCCACCCCGGGAAGGTGAGGAACTCACTGGCTGCCTGTTCCTCCAGCTTGTGTCTCTCTCCAGAGGAGGGCAGGGTCCAACCACTGCTGGTGGCCCCTGGGGAGGGGCTGCTGCTTTGCTCCCCCTCTCCCCCATCCAATCACCACCCAGGAGGCTGTGGCCACAAGAAAAGCCCCTGGTGGCCGCATTTGAGAAACGCTGCCCTAGCTGCAGCTTCCAAGACCCAGGCTGGTGTTGGGGGGCGGTTGAACATCCTATAGGGTGGCAGCTTTTTGGCTTCTACTGGAGTTTTTCTCTAAAAACTTAACTTCTTTGGCTCTCATTGCAGGCTCTGGTTCCTTCTGGGAAGGGAGAATTCATGAGCGACTTTAGTTTGGGCGGCCCAGAAATAACACACTGGCCAATCGAGCAGGGTTATCACGTGTGGATTGGAGATGCAGTTTAGCTACTCCCCTTTAATTTACAGGGTTTCCCTGAGCAAGCCACTTCCAAACAAAGTGGGGCACACTTGTGCATTTTGTAATTGCCCTTTAGCAGCTTAAAGGTGCAGTGTTTCCTTACAGGTCGCATGAACCTGCAGCTCTGTTAACATGTGGGTGTGGGAGTTACTAGCCACTTGTTTTTTCTTTCTACACAGACTAATTGAAGCTCTTAATACCCACATGCTACTTCCTCCCCCCGCCTCCACGTACACTCTTAATAGTGACGATACCATGGAACGTTACTAATTCTCCCTCTGCTAATCCACAAACCCAACAACGGTTTCTCAAACCAGGCAGTCCCGTCCCGTTTATGAACAACAAGTAGGGGGTTGTCTACACGGGGAAATTTACCAGCAGAACTACACCAGTATAATTATCTCTGCAACTATGCAGTGTAAACCAGCAACCCCACCCCACCTTGTGTGGATGCTCTTTCAGGATTTAGAGTGGCCTCTTTTCAGCCTAGCTTTTGTCTCTTTGGAAGCAGTTGAAGCAAAACTGTAAGTGCGGTATAATACTACCACTATGGCTGAGTCGGTAAATTTCCCCACGTAGACAAGCCCTTAGTAGCAGGGTCTGTGCTGAGATCTCATCTCACTAAGACATCATCAGTCTTACTAAATATCCTGACTAGGACACTTACAGGAAGGTTCCTTGGCACTGGAATTCACCTCCCTCCTTGCTGTGATTGATTTGCATCATCAGATTTCTGATGATCTTTGGGATATGATGCAAGAGCAGCCTGTTCTACCAGGCAGCTCTTGTGAATGGAGGGTGGGGGGGAAATGGATGGGGGTTGGGAAGATATTGCAGGAGGGGTCTCTGGTATGGGCCTGGTTGGACAACCTATTATTCCATTTTAAATTGCTTTAAATAAGCTTTGTAATGTGCCTAGACCCAGAGTTGGGTGCAGTGAATGGTAAACCAAGCTCACTGCACTCCAAGGAAGCACGGTCTGTGACACATTATCCATTTTTAACCCGTCTGTCCCCTTCACTTGCAGTGATTGGCTAGGTTAGTCATTGCCTCATGCTCAGGGCATCTCTTAACTTCCAAGCTAACGGGCAAGAGGGTGTTTGTTGCTGTCCCCTCCCGTTGCTCTGCACTCAGCGTTTACTTCCCAGAGTTCCTCATTGCTCTTCCTTCACTTCCACAGGTCCAGAGGCAGTTCCCAGTTACACGCCCAGCATGACGGACGCCCCCAGAGACGCCGGCCTCAAGCAGGCGGCACCACCGCGGCCCGAAAAGCCGGCCCCCGACTTCAGCTACGTTGGGATCGACGCCATCCTCGAGCAGATGAGAAGGAAAGCCATGAAGCAGGGATTTGAGTTCAACATCATGGTAGTTGGTGAGTTCCCATCAGAGACTGCTCTCCCAGGAGACGCCGGCTGCGCTGTGCTTGGTGGAGGACAAGCTGTTTATTTTATAGCTCCTTGGCAAGATTATTCTCCCTGTAGCTTCTACAGGAGCAGCTTCTAAGATTTAATGCTGGGATTCTTGCATTAGGAGTCAGCAAACTCCCCTTCCACTTTAAGGGGCCTGTCTTGCTGTCAGTTGTTAAAGTGCAGGGTGGGTTGGGATCAGTGTTGCCAGGCATATCTCTTAGCATTTAAGAGTTTATGTGCCCTTAAATCTAGTGGGGGCTCTCCACGGCCAGATCCCCGTGGAGTGCCCCCACTTGTGCCGTGGACCAAGGAGTCTTTCCCCTCTCTGTTCCTGTTTTGTCCCCAGTGCAGTGGTTTGATGGTATAAGTGGGAGGCCAGGAGTAACTGCATGATTTCAACCTCTTCCTGTGAGTATGTACAGCTCCTAGCACAATGGGGCCTGGTTTTCGATTGGGGCCTCTAGGTTTTACTGTACTACAGACAAACAAGAAGTAAGCAGTGATTCTGCCTGCAGCGTCTCCTGCTGGTCATCTTGGGAATTAGCTCTCCAGCCTCCGTAGCATCCTCTGCAAGCCGGTGTCCCACTTCCACTTGGCCCCCATGTCCCTCCTGGACCCCGGATGACCCTTTCTCTGGGTGCTGCCCCCAGGCAGTACCCTCACCATTTCTGTGGGTCTCCCCGCTCAGGGGAACCCCCACCCACTATCCCCATCTCGCCTCAGTATTTGGCTACTGCCAGTCATCATCTAGCCCCCGCTCACTGGGGCAGACTGCAGTGTCTCAGCCATTCATCATAGGCAAGGGGGGTTTGGACCTGCTGCCTCGGCCTACCCGTGGGCTGCCCTCTGCAACCCCAGTACCCAATTGGCCTTAGACTAGGCCGCAGCCTGGGGTTTTCCAGGCCGGAGCTCCCCGGCTCCCTTGGCCTTCCCCCAGCCCTGCTCCCCCCAGATACCTTCTCCACTCCCTAGCAGCCAGGCCCTTCTCCCTCTACAAACAGAGAGAGTGTGTCTGTGCTCCTGGCTCAAAGCCTTTTTATAGGGGCCGGCTGTGGTCTGTTTGGGGCGTGGCTCCCAGCTGTGCTTACTTCCCCAATCAGCCTGGAAGCTGCTTGCCCCAGCCACAGCCCTCTGCTGGGCTGTTAAGCCCCTCAGGGCAGGAGCAGGTGACCACCCCGCTACACTGCCTAAGTTGTACGGAGAATTTCCCCAGATCTGCTGCATTTACCAGGGGATGCCAGGCGCTGTGTGAGATGGTGCTGCCTTGTGAAACAAGGCCTCAGAGCAAGGCTCTTTCCCTGAAAGGCCTGGGGAGAGGGGGGGAGAGTGCAGTTTACAGGTGGGGTGTACGAGGCTGGAGATGAAGAGGGGTGTGCCGGAGGGGGGCTGGAAACCAACACCATTATCAGGGTAGTTGCTGTGGTGTAAGCAGGGCCTGTGCAGCATGGCACAGCGTGGCCCCGGGTCTCTACTCCCCTGCAGCTGAATTCTTGATGTGTTATGATGAAGAGGAGGGGCTGTCGCTTTGCGTCCTGGTTGCCTTCCCTTTTCCATTGCTGTGTGGGTGAGGCACAAACCACTTGGCCCTCAGAGCTGGACTGGGGGTGCAGCAGCTTTGTAAGCAGGGGAGGAAATAACACTGAACAGTCACTGATGAAAGGAGACTCGAGGAGCTTGGTTTGTTTAGCCTAACCAAAAGAAGGCTGAGGGGGGATATGATTGCTCTCTTTAAATACATCAAAGGGATAAATACCAGGGAGGGAGAGGAATTATTTCAGCTCAGTGCTAATGTGGACACGAGAACGAATGGATATAAACTGGCCGTGGGGAAATTTAGGCTTGAAATTAGACGAAGGTTTCTAACCGTCAGAGGGGTGAAATTTTGGAACAGCCTTCCGAGGGAAACGGTGGGGGCGAAAGACCTCTCTGGCTTCAAGATTAGGCTAGATAAGTTTATGGAGGGAATGGTTTGATGGGATTACGTGATTCTAATCAATTAGGCAATAACGGCCATCGCTGGTAAAATGAAGGTCTGGCTAGAGAATCTTGCCTGTATGCTCGGGGTTCTGCTGATCGCCATATTTGGGGTCGGGAAGGAATTTTCCTCCAGGGTAGATTGGCAGTGGCCCTGGAGGTTTTTCGCCTTCCTCCGCAGCATTGGGCAGGGGTCGCAAGCTGGAAGATTCTCTGCGACTTGAAGTCTTTAGATCACGATCTGGAGACTTCAACAGCAGAGTTAAGGGAAAGTGGGGGGGTCAGCTTTTGTGGCCTGCATCATGCGGGGGGTCAGACTAGATGACCATATTGGTCCCTTCTGACCTTAAAGTCTATGAGTCTATGTAATTAAAGGACCCCAACGGGGCTGGCCTCATTTTGAGGCTCCTCTGGGTGGACCATTTGCCAGCCTGAGTGGCCTGCAGCATATAAAAGCTTCCCCTGGGATCCCAATATGCAATGTACTCTGGGATTATAGCATCCCTGGTGCTTGTGGTGTGCGGGCAAGGGGGAGGAGCTTTGCTTTTCCCTCTGGCCTTGTGAATGATGAGCTTGGTGCCAAAACCCGATAAGCCGACAGACGTTCGTGAGCTCTTGTTATCCCTTTGAGACTGCAGTGGATAAAGGACAAGGAACCTGGAGTCTTCCTTCGGTCCCCCGCCATCCCCACCACCACAACCCACCTGCCCTCACTTGGGGGCAACCGGTTTCCTTACTGCTGCTCTAGCTGATGTTTTACTTCTGTGGTTATCAAAGGTTCCGTTTGATAAGCCTCTAATGTAAGAGGTTTACAGCTTGGCTCTGCCGAAACTTGCCTCAGGTTAAAGCTGTCCGCCTCAGCAGATAGCAATTGAAATCCGAGCACGTGGACTCCATAGGTTTGGTTATTAAGGGGGAGGCTTTACAGAAGAACAAACTTTGAAGCAGCATCTGTCTATAAAAGAAATGAGCACAGCCAGTGCGATTTGTGCTCCCTGCGCTATCCGTGTGTCTCTGTAGAACAGTCGTCGATGCTCCGTGCTTTGCAGTGGTACCCAGATCTAAGCAGCTCAGCTTGCAAAGTTCAAGGTGGTTTGCCTGGCCCCATGAAACTCAGCCTGGGATCTGGAAGTCAGAACCCATTTGACTAGGGTGAGCATATGTCCCGTTTTGGCCAGGACAGACCCCCTTTTGAAACTCTGTCCTGGATGTCACGACTCTGGGCATTTCTCCCATTTGCTCTTGCCCTAGGGGAGGTGCAGAGGAACGTTCAGGTAAGAGCAAACGGGAGAAATGCCCAGTTTTGCCAAAAAAGTCATGATGCCCATGATGGTGGCTTGGGTGGGGGCAATGCCAGGCTCGGGCCAGCCCCCCACAGCTACACCCAATGTCCCGTTTTCAGTTAGGGAAATATGATCACCCTACACTTGACTCCTGCATAATCCCCAGGAATAAGGGCTTGCAAAGCGGCTTGTCCCCTCCTCAGTTTCTCTTGAGCAACTGTAAGCAGGACTTGGCCAGGCAAGTGTAGATAAGCAGTCTCAAAGGTGACCGCCCCGTGGCAGGGTGCAAGGAGAAGAGAACGCAACACTGAGGCTGCTTGGAGCGCAAGGCCTCTGGCATGGGTTTTTTTCCTGTCCCTCAGTGCCTCCTGCTGGTGGGGATGGAGCGGGACAATGTCTGCTCACCTCTCATGGTGGAGGGTACAAAGCGCTGTTTATCCTGGGCTGGTGAAGCACAGAAGGAAAGTCTGGGGGTCGAAGACTACTGGAGTGGCTTGGCTAACCTGCAGCGTGTGCTGTCACTGTCACTTACCTCTGACGTCCACTCCCCTGGGAGCCTGATTCTGCACCTGGCTTCCCTGTCCCCAGCATATGTAGCTCTCTTGCTCTCTCTGCCCTCATCCCTTTCCCACATGCACCTGGACAGCCGGCGCCTCCTTGCCGGTTACCATGGTTAGCCCCAAAGAGCTGTGCAGCGAGCCCAAAACCAGGTCTGGCTCACAGCAAACCTAGAACTTGGGTCAGAGTCACTAAGGCTGGTGAGCCTGAGCTGGTTTTGGGGGGTTACAATAGCTTCTCCCCAAATCAGCTGCAATTTCAGCTGAGTTTCTGTCCCCCAAAGATCAGATCTCATGAAGAATCTTGAAGTTGAATGATCTGAGACCCATAGCCCCTGCCAGGGCTGGACTTGCTTCTGCCCTGTCCTGGGATACCCTGAGCTCACAGCTTGGGGGTGTTGCCCCGTGGTGCCCAGGAGCCACAACTCTCCTCTTGCCATCCGAGGGCAGGCTGCAGTGGGAGGGCACCTCTTCCTTCTGCAGTTCTGGTGGTGATGGGAGACGTTTAAGAGGGGCCCGGATTTCCATGCCTCACAGTGGCTGGAAAACTCTGTTCTTTCCTTGGCAAGCTCCCGGCTGAGTGTTCACAGGCTGGGGAATTTGTGGCAGCCTAAACAAGTGCTGAAACTCTCTGCCTATCACAGGAAAACACAGGGTATGCAACAGAGCGGGCAGGCGGTGCTCAGGGCATGTGAATGGGAGGGTAACCCTTGCGATGGATCACTGAGCTTTATAAGGACAGGTTGGACAATCATCTGTCTGAGATGGTCTAGGGTTAGCTGGTCCTGCCTCAGGACAGGGGGCTGGACTAGATGGCTTCTCAAGGTCCCGTCTAGCCCTACAGGTCTGAGTCTGAGGCCCCAGGATGGGATCTCCTATCATCCCCTCACTCTCTCCTGCCTGATTAAATACCACGGCAAGTTTGGGAGAAAACGGGCTTCCTGAATCTGTACAGATACGGGCAAGGGGATGGGGGCAGCTGCTTATTTCAGGGCTCCCACAGAACTGAGGTATTACTTTTGGGGTGTGTGTCTGTGTGTGTGTGTGTCTGTCTGTCTTTCTGTCTCTTGCTGAATCTGGGAGTCTTGCCATGTTCCTGAAACTGTCTGGAAGCCACCCACAGGTCTCTGGTTCGGGCAGACAGAAGGGAGAAATGAGGAGTAGCCAAGCAGTTTCAGTCCTTCTTCCTGATGGGCTTAGTCTAAAGCATGCGCTCTGTGGAATCCATTTGAATGCAGCTGAGTGGGATTCTCGGGGTTAGCCTAGTCTTCTGGCAGTGCGGAGCACCCAAAGAACCTGTATTGGAGAGAAACTTCCCAGGTGACTTGCTTACAGGAGCTGAAGAGAAGCACGCCTTCCCTGGACACGTTCTTTCCAGTCAGCTCTTTCTTGGTCCGTCCTCTGCCTTTCTTCATTAGTGCTCAGCTGGGCAGCTCCACAAAGAGCCAGACAACACCTCACTGTATTGCCCAGACCCTTATCTAGGTATAATATAGCCCCCACTCTGGCATTTGAGCACTAGCAAAGACAGGAGCTATTATCCTTGTTTTACAGCTGGGGAAGCGAGGGGCAGTCAATTTAAGTGACTTGCCCAGAATTACACGGGAAGCCTGTGGCAGAGCTGGCAATTGAACCCAGTTGTCCTGTGACCATCTGGTGCCTTCAACACAGGACCATCCTTTCTGTAGAGCAAATCTCTCTGGGGACCTTTGCCACCATGGGCGCTACTAATGTCCTCTACAATACTGTTGAGAGCTTCGATCAGATTCCTGGAAGTGTTTAACTCGTGGGTCAGTCTGGATTTACCAGAACTACTTTTAGTCCCCTAATCCCTGCCACTAAGGTGTGGTTACAGCCAGGAAAAGGTCTATGCAAAAAATGGCTCCTTACTCCCGGGTATTGAGAAGCTGCAAAGTAACTACTTTCCTGAACAAAATCAGCATAGTATGTACTGACCAGAGATGGCCAAAAAGCTTCGCATTCCAACCTCTGTCTCTGCTACCAGCTCCCAGGAGCTGCTCTTCTCTAGTGTTTTTCACTCCAGCTAATTAAACAGTGTCAGATGCAGGAACAGACTAGCACAGGTTGCAACAATGTATCACCTCTTAATTAGAAGCATATGAGAAAAACTAACAAGATCATAAATAGAATACCTAGATCAGCCTATTTTGTTTACAGTTCAGGCAGTGTTAACCCTTCTGTTGCTTGATGAAACTCTCTGCAAAGGGCAAAACACTTGAACTGTATTTGTTCCCTGTGTTTCTTTTGCACCCATAGCTGCTCTGCCTACTGACAAAAACAAGACTTCCTTCTGTTGGCACGGCTAAAAGCAGGTGGGGAGATACTATGGGAGAGCAAACCAGTGCAAAAGGTTTTGGGACCTGTGAGCTTCCGGGATGTTTGGGGGGAGGCGAAGGGGTGTATTTTGATCTTCTGGGTCCTGGAAGGGTGGGCGTGGAGGTTGGGTGTGGGGCAGAGGCTGGGAGCTCTGACAGACTAAGCTTACTCTGAAGTGCTTTTGCAAATTTAGTTAGAAGCTAGTGGCCCCGCTCGTTAGCTGAGGCTTGTCTGACAGCATTTTTCCTAGGAATTTTCTAGCACTAGCATTGTGCTATTTCTCCTGGAACATTGATCTAAACAACAGAGATGGATTTAGCCCAAGCTGCCATGTGCTGCCCAAATCTGGCCCTTAAGAGAACCTCTGGTCCTGTTAAATGTGACTGATTTCTGGGGCCAGAGCCAATGCTTCATCAGTTTAGTTGAAAGAACCAATCAATCCCCAAACCTAATTTATTCCCCTTTGTGATCCCAGCCATAAACCATTGGATTGTGTTTTTAGCCCAGGCCTGGATCATTAGTATCTATCCCCTGCAGGATTTATTGAAGAGGTTGGGGGAAGCGGTCTGTCATGGTGGATGATCAAAAACATAAGATACAGTTTAGTGTGTCCTCTTTAATATCGGCTGAGATAAAGCTAGAGGGAGCCTTGCAAGGAATGGAATTCATGTGGGACAGACAGTGAAGGAAGCCTGTAGATCAGCCCTCCTATGGACCATTTCAATCTGTAAGTCCCTTTAAGAGAATCTTTATTGAAGGGGTCATGGCAGAGGGAGAGCTTGTCTGCTTCCCATCCTCTTATTAAGGAGGGAAATGGTTATTGCAGCCTTATAGGGGGCAAATAAATAACTCAAGATGACTGTGTGGCCTCTGTATTGGCTCAGTTAAGGTTAATAAAGGGGTTCTGTAAACATTAGCCCTTCAGTGCTATGTGTATCTCTGCCCTTACGGGTCGTGTGAGCCGCTGCTGTTTAGCTTACTGACAAACTAGCTATTCACATGCTCCCCAATGAGTTTGTCTAGTTGTGCCCAAATGGGCCATGTTTTCCGTCTAGCGCATCTTCAACCAAGCGAGATCTTGTTCCATAGTGGAGGGAGTCACTTGTCTAACTTCAGTGTACGGGGTGCCGGATCCCTGCGCTTTCCATCCCACATCTCCAGGCAATGTCTTCAAACACACGGGTTTTGTGTTCCACTCTGAACAGGGACAGGGAGCAAAGAACCGTATTGATTGCAGGAGGAAGCTGTTTCCACTGAGTGTGTTGCCTCATTGAAAGTGAAAGCATCCTTAGTAAAGAGGGAGTTGCAGTTCCAGTGATCCACACCCGCAAGTTGAGGTTACTTGACTAATGTGTGGCATGAGCAGGAGAACCTTCCCCTGTCAAAACAGACCTGGGCTGAATGGGCTACAGCAGGGGTCAGCAACCTTTCAGAAGTGGTGTGCCGAGTCTTCATTTATTCACTCTAATTTAAGGTTTTGCGTGCCGGTAAAGATTTTAACGTTTTTAGAAGGTCTCTTTCTATAAGTCTATAATATATAACTAAACTATTGTTGTATGTAAAGTAAGTAAGGTTTTTAAAATGTTTAAGAAACTTCATTTAAATTTAAAATAAAATGCAGAGCCCCCTGGACCGATGGGCAGGACCCAGGTAGTGTGAGTGCCACTGAAAATCAGCTCGCATGCCGCCTTCGGCACGCGTGCCATAGGTTGCCTACCCCTGGGCTACAGGAACTGCTTTGCTATGTCATCCAGCAGGGGGCACAAAATATGAGCCGGACTGAAATGTTTGCTCCAGTAGAGGGTGCCAGCACACATGTACCCAAGCCAATATGCAGCCATCTCCTTGTGTGAAGAAATATCCCAGAGGCTGTGGGAAATACTGTTACATTCTGCAAAGAAACTGTTGGTATGTGCAAAGCCACTGCCTGCGGAGTTGGCCCCACCCTAGTTAGCAGAATGTGTTCTTGATGCATGGTGTGAACGGGAAATTCCCATAAAGGTAAAATGGAGACAATTCCAACTCCAATTCTGACTCTCCCTGTCCTCCAGGTCAGAGTGGCTTGGGGAAGTCCACGTTAATCAACACCCTCTTCAAATCCAAAGTCAGCCGGAAATCTGTTCAGCCAGCTTCTGAAGAGCGGATCCCCAAAACCATCGAAATAAAGTCGATCACTCATGGTGAGTCTCTTGGGCACACACGCAGCTTGGGGGTGACAGAGCTCTAGAGGCTCCTTCTAAGCCAAGAGAAGCTAGAGCATCTTCTCCGTATCCACCAGCCTAGACTCCTTTATGCCGGAACGCAATCAGCTGAGATTGCTGGCCGGGTATCGTGCCTCACAGGGGGCGGAGTTATATGGATTATTGAAAGAGCCAAACTGCATAGTCTCTTCTTTATAATGCAGTTGAAATGCCACTGATGTGATAGGATGCTGTATCTTTGGAGGGCTGCAGGTACCAAGCCTGCAGCCGCTTGGAGAGATCTCTGGTGGTAAGGCAAGGCTGCACGCTGGGCCTGTCTCTGCTTGCGGCCTACACCATCCCTTGGACGTTTCTGTTTCAGATATTGAGGAGAAAGGCGTCCGTATGAAGCTGACTGTCATCGACACCCCAGGGTTTGGAGACCACATCAACAATGAGAACTGGTGAGAACACTGCAGCCGAACGGCCCCGGGCTGTGCTGCTGCTTGGCTGGCATAGGCCTTCTGTCATGCAGACCACCTATGGGGGTGGGGGCTCACTTCGCACCGCCCTTCCTTTGGCCCGGTGCATGGAATGGGCCGTGGCACATTGCAAAGATGTGGATCCCTTGTGGCTCTCATTCTGCCCAGCTTGGCTGTCGAGGGCCGGGGAGGGAGGCTGGAGATGCTGAACAGCTGGGCTGATGAGCTGCAAAGGGAAACCAGATAATCCTGCCAGCTTCCTTCCCCAGCAGGCTCCAGTGCAAAGGGCTGTGGTTAGTCAGCGTTCTCTCTGCCAGGGGGTGGAGCCCAACCATCCCAGAGTGTCGCTTCACGGGCAGGGCAGATGCTCCCCCCCCCCCCCCCCCCCAAAAAGGCTGAGGAATCCTGCTCTTTGGGCAAAGAACCTGGCCAAATGGTGTGGAGATGGCATGGGGAGAGCAGTGCCCCACTGGTGGTTAGTTACAACCATCCCCTCCCTCTGCCCCCCACACCTCAGGGCCCTGGGGCAGAGCGCTATGTTGCACTGCTCTCAGCAGGCCGAAGGCCAGACTCTGCCCTAGATTTCCTAGGAAATGGCCAGGCAGTTCCATCGGCAGCTGTTAGAGAGCACCCAGCTGCCACTGCTAAGGAGGCCACCCGTCTCCTCAGCCCCAGCATCCCCATCATGCTGACACGACTGATCCCCTAGCCCTTCCCACGTCTGCTGGAGAGTTAGCAGCTGTGGGGAAAGTCCTTGGGCGTTCAGAGGCGGTGGCTGCCTCATGTGTCCCACTCATGGGGGCGGGGGGTGCAAAAATAATCAATTTATAAATATCTGTATTCCCCTCCCCCCCCCCCCCCCCCCCCACCCCCCCAGAGTGTGGTGGTGAGGTTAACCTTGGAAGCATACAGACAAATTTGAGTGTGAGCAATCTCTGGGGTGGGGGCACACAAGCACTTTTTTTTTCCAGCCACTCCCCTGCCCCCCAACCTCTCTCTAAATACATTGTCTAGGAAAGCACTACAAGCTCTGTTAAACTTTCTGGGGCACTGGCAGGTCTCCCGCAGTCCGGGCAGTCGATGGCTAACTGCTCTGCTGCCTTTCCCAGAAGTGACTCCTGGTGAAGGGTTATGGCTGGGATCCTGGGGTGGATGGGGAAGAGCAGGAAGATGGCAAGGCTAAGCTGTCAGGCTTTCCAGGGCTTATCTGACCCTCCTGGTGGTGTTCATTAATATTTCTGTTCTGAAATGGGCCAGAGCCTAGTTGGTCACAGGATGTCCATTACTGCAGCAGTAAAGGGGCTACTGTGGGCACTAACACTTACGAAGCCTGCTTACCATTGTGAGAGGCTCGCATTTGGATGGTGGAGCCCAGTTGTCCTCGTGAAGTGGTTGCAGGCTCTGCACTGCCTCCTAGTGCTGGAGGCGGAGTTCACAGCCAAGAAGCTGAGCTCTCCTGCTGCCACGCATGCTAGTTGTTTCCCTTGTTGAGTGCCAGGACTGGGAGGATTCCCAGAAAACTTGGCTCCTTTTAGAAAGGTGATAAAACAAGATTTGCCATTCACATAGGACTTGGGGGATTCTTTTCTTAGCCGCCTGCAGCTGTGGTATGAAACATTCCCGTGCTTTTACTTGGGGGCCCAATTCTGCAAGATGCTGAGCACTGTCCACTCCCGATGACTCCCCCTTTCAGAATCCAGTGCAGAGCGTAGCCTGTGGGTGGTTTTAGAGTCCCTGCATGAGTCCCGTCTCATCTGTGTATATGTCTTTCTGCACAGCTGGCAGCCCATCATGAAGTTCATCAATGACCAGTACGAGAAGTACTTGCAGGAGGAGCTCAATGTTAACCGGAAGAGGCGGATCCCAGACACCAGGGTGCACTGCTGTATATACTTCATCCCAGCCACCGGCCATGCGTATGTACCCTCCTCCTCAGGAGAATGATCTTTCCTACTGAGGATGGTGTGTGTGTGTGTGTGTGTGTTTGTGGGGGTGGGGTTATGATCAAGATTGAACCTACTTGCCCCTCTGGTGCTAGCTGTCTCTGTCTTTAATCTTCCCCAGAAGTTGCTAAGAAATTCAAAATCACTCTGGTTTGTGTGACCTTACAATAACTTTTTCCAATCAATCATCTTTAGTGCAAATACTACATCCTGTTTAGCCAGGTTCTGGTCACTTCCTGTATGTTGAAGCATGCACACATGGACTGCTAGGTGCTCTATATACAATCCCACACAAGTAACATATGACTGCAGTAATTCCTAATGCTTATAGCTAGCTCCCTTCCCCATCTAGAGCTGCTAGTATTAACACAAAGCAATCCTAGCCAGGCATAGGTAAAACAAATATGCAGGCATCACTTCATTTCCCACCCCCTCCCAAAGGACGAATTAAACAGTCTGTAGCATCCCAAGAGTCCATGTGAGTAGTGGCTAGAATCTGATAGTAATGTGCTTGCCAACGTTTAAAGTGCCTCCCTAGCGTGCTATCCGTTTTTGTTAAGCAAGGATCCAGTTGTCCTAGCAGTATAGAGCAGATCGAACCAGTTGGTACTGAGCCTGAAGGGGGTATTTATAAATAGAGCTTTTAGCCTGGAAGTGATCATGGCCTATTTCATGTGTAGCCTCGTTTCTGTCCCTGGCACCTCTAAAAAGCGAGTGTCCAAGTGTCGGGACCTAGAATTTTCATTTGGTTTGTGGCGATTCCTTCACTCGAGATCTGGCCTCATCTACACGGGAAGTTTCTTCTGTATAAACAAGGTATGAACTTAACCCTATATAGTTATACTAGTCTAACCCCCTGTGTGGACACTCTTGTTTGGATATGAGTCACTTGTTTTGGTTTCACTTATATCACTTGGGAAGGGGCTTCAGCTAAACCAAAAAAAAAAGGCACTCTTCTACTGGAATAATTGTCCTGGTGTGGAAAGTTAGACAGGTATAACTATACCTGTGTAACTGACCAAACTTTCCCATGTAGACAAGACCTTAGAGTCCCCTTCTCCATTGGCTTTAGAGAAAAAAGTCCTTGTCAATGTGAACGGCCCTGCACATACATTAGCATAGAGCAGAGATGGTTGCATATGTGCCATCTGCAAAGACCCCAGGGTCCTTGGATTGTCTGATTGGGCTGCTCGCCTGGTCTCTTTATCTGTTGTAGCCTTCTGTTAGGGGCAGAGGAAGCTGATGGAGTTGTCTGCCTCGGGATGATCAGGTAAAATAAAAGGCCTTTTCTAGAGAAGACTCTAGGTCTGGTGACCTGGCAAATCCCACTCTTCGGCAGAAGAAGAAAAGGAGGCTGTGAGCCCTCCACTTGTGTGCAAGGAGCATTGGAGCTTTAGAAGGGGTGACCACGTGCAAGCCCTTGAACCCTTAGCACTGCGGCTGTGCCACTGACCTGGTCGTGCACCCAGCAGCAGGAGTCTGCGAATGCAATTCTTGAGGTGGAGCAAATGACCTATTCCAAGGCCCCCTTCCCCTTCCCTGGGAAAGCATGGAAAGCGCCGTCCTTCTGTGTGTGGCCGTCGTGTGTGCGGGGGAGGGCACTGACATGTTAGGCTCATCCCTCTGCCTGTGCCTCTCTAATGGCATGTTCTGGTTTCTCTCACCCGGCTGCTCCCAGGGTAACAGTGTTTGCATGGAAGTCCGACTCTCTGCTTCCTTCCTCTCGCTCTCTCCCTCCCCCCCGCTCTCTCTCCAAAGAACATGTGTTTCCAATATAAGAAAATGGCCCTGCAGTTCGAGAGGCTTCATTACCACGCTGCACGCAACAGGCTCCTTCCCCTGCAATAGTCTTTGGCTGCGTGTAGCCTGATACCCCAGCTGGGGGTTAGAGCCCGCTCGCTTGGCTGCCGTCTCAGGTTGCTTCTCCTAGGGCCACGGTTTCCTGCCCAGGTGTCAAAGAGGACATCTGGCTCCTGACTTTCGCCTCCCGTTGGAGGATGCATATATGCCGGGGAACAGCAGGACGCACTGAGGCCATAGACTACAGCTCAGGGGGAGGGAGGACCTTTAATGGGAATGTGGAGTGGATGGGAAATGCTGGTTCTCTGAGTTGTAACGTGCAGCGTTTGAGTTCCTGATGCCACTCTCTGGTTAGTTTCACATCTACTTTCTCATTGCCATTGGCACTTTCCTCCTGCCCTTCATAATCTCCCCTGCTCTCCTATGGAGTTGCCCCATGCTCAGAGATTATGGGCTAGCACGGGGTGGACTCTCTTCCCGCTGTAGAGTGGAGTATTGTTTGAAATGACCATAAGCCTTTTCAGAGAGTGGTGAGCAGGGAGGCAGCTTCCTGTAGTTTTATGTAAGCAAAGCACATCCCTTCATGTTGGCTTTGTGCCTCTCTAACACAGCTGTGAGCTGCATATGCTAGTGTAACCCACACACCTTCTGGGTGTGGTGTTTTGTCCATCTAGTGGCACTGAGACCACAGAGAGAGATTAATGAGTATGCTCTGCAGCCATGTGGCTTTTAGCTCATACAGTAGAGACTCATGCATTTAGCTCCAGATTCGATCCGGCCTGCCGACATTACACTAGCACTGTCTTGAATATGCCACAAGTGGAGGGAACTGGGACTAGAACCCTGGTGCTTCCGCTCTCCAACCTCAGGCCTCTATCGCTTGAGCCACCTTAGGAGGTAATGACAGGTATTCCTTTCATTCTGTGGATCCCCACTGGGGGCAACATCACACAAATCGCAATGGGATGGATCACTCGATGATTACCTGTTCTGTTCATTCCCTCTAAAGCACCTGGCATTGGCCACTGTCAGAAGACAGGATACTGGGCTAGATGGACCATTGGTCTAACCCACTATGGCCATTCTTATGATGCTCACCAGAGGTGTCCACAGAAGGGATAACTCTCTGAGTGTGGTGGTTCAACCTATCGGGATGCTCCTGCCTGAATAACCTGCTTTAATTTGGATCCCAGTTTTTCTTGGCAGCCAGCTCCCTCTCCCCAGTCTCACGGACTCATCTTACTACTGTCAATCATTTGCACCAACTACAGAAAACATGCTAGAGGGATTAATCCCGATGTCATTCTGAAGCTCCCAGCGCTGTTCGGATTGTCCTTTTCAGGGGCGTTCTGCCTCTTCATTGACAGTGGGAAGTGCTGCTTTCCAGACCTGATGATTCAAGGACAGAGCATTACTCTTATCCTCCCTTCCCAACTGCACAGCAAGGATTCCTAGCACCCTCTTGGCAGCATGTGGCTGCTTCCGCAGCCAGCAGTGTGCAGAGGGTTAGTTTAACCTGCAGTGCCTTGTGAAGATGGGGACCGGCTTGGAGTTAATTCTGCTTTCTGTGCCGGTTGCATTTGGATTAATCCCTGCTCCTCTGGAGCTGGTTTTTTTGTCGCTGTCATAAACATTTAACATACATTCGGAACCCACCGAGACCGGTGAATCTCTGAGTGGCTTTTACGAGACTGTTGAAGATGGCACTCCAGTCTGTGAGCCAGAGATATCCTATCCCTTTATAGCCCTGACCCGATAGACTGCTCGGTTCCATTTCAGAGTCCGCTGTAGACGTTGAGTAAAAGGTTTGTCTATTCCTCCCATAGAGTGGAACCCAAGGGTGAATCAGCTGATGACTTTTCCATCTCCTAAGGACACATCCTCAGCTCTGTCTCCCATCAGTCAGGAGTCCAGGGCAGACGAAACTAATCTAGTGTGTGCCCTGCCCTCCTCGTAAGGCCCCAGTAAAATGATGTTTGCAAAGACTAAGTAACATGCTGGCAGGGGCTTTTGGCCATGGAAGTAAAGCCCCAAATACTCACCACCCAATAAATTCCACAGCAGGCTCTGCATGATGTCTGGAAAGCACGGCTTGACTCTGAAAAGTGACTGTGAAATATAGCACTTTCTCACTCGCCGGCTGTGCGGCCTGTGTGTGTTGGAGCCGCTGCTTCTGACTGTACTGACACCATCCAGTTTCCTCTCCTGTTAGTCTCCCTGCTATGGGAGAGGGAGCTAGATTCAGTTCCGGCTTGTGCCTCAGCAGGTTCCTGTTGAGCACTTAGGTATGTCTACATGGAGCTTGCTTCCTGCATGGGTAGACAGACGCACACTAGCTCTGCTAATGACTTGCCCGAGTGTGTCCTCAAGGGGTGGGTGGGATTGTGCTCAGGTGGCTAGCCCAAGCCCCGCCCATGCCGCAGCAGCCAGGTGCTATTTGTAGCACCCTAGCTCGAGCAGAGCTAGCATGCGCCTGTCCACCTGTGCCGGGAAGCACCCTCCCAGCTTCTGTGCAGAGGTTCCCTTACTGGCGGCGGTGGTGGAGCCCTGTGTGACTCCGCACGGGTGTATTGCTCAATGTACCAGTCGGAAGATTTTATTTCTTGCTGCTAGTTCGATCTGAGATGCCACTGACAGGGTATTCTGTGTCTGGTCCTCACAGCGGCTTTTATTCCTTAACTGCATTGTAAGGGAACAAGCAAGAGCCGAGTCTGCCCTACAATGCTCCTTCTAATTTTTTACATCCATGTGCGGAATGAATTTTATGTGCACCAATATGGAGGTGGTGTGTGGCGGGGTGGGGCTGAGGGATTTGAAGTGGGGAGGGAGCTCAGGGCTGGGGATGCGGAGGGGTGAGGGCTCTGGCTGGGGATGCGGGCTCTAGGGCAGGGCTGGGGAAGAGGGGTTTGGGGTGCAGGCTGCCACAGGGCTGAGGCGGGGAGAGAGGACTACCCCCAGCCCTCTTTCGCCGCGGCAGCTCCAGGGCTGGGGGAGAGGCACCTCTCGCCGTCGCAGCCCTATATGCCCCAACTTGCTCCCCACCCACCCCCTACCCCTGTCCTCTGCAGACCCCTGTGGCTGTGCACCTGTGTGGCCCTTGATAGCCTGCTGCGTGGCCATGCAGCTTAGAGGGAACTTGCCTGCCCGATCCCACCTATGCTAGCGAGCCCAGT